CTCATGCATAAGGAACAAATATTTATGGAAATCTGTGGAATGAGAGAGTAAAAGTTAACCTACAAGAACTTGGATTGTCATAATGATATATGTACACTTTCCATGGGATTTATCCATATTGTTCACAGTATCAGTGATACAAAGTTGAAATAGCTCGAGGATTAAAACATTTGTATGGTCAGTAGCAATGCTAATTAAAGCATAATTACTTTGATCAACTGTAAATAAATTTAAATGTTTGAATTACTTCTTGTTGCTTCATCATTTGTCTTAGTCTGCATTCTCCACTCTTTTCAATATACTCACCAGCAACTGAATGGCTGCATATTCTGAGTTCAACCGGCCAAAAATGTTATATGCAAAGTGCTCTACTTTCTCCATTTAAACCATCCTTCATGTTTAAAAGCAAATATATTTGTTTACATATATTTATTTAATCAATATAAATGAAAATTAGCAACATTTCTGAATAGCATTAATTGTACACAACTACATCATGTAACAGACAAACTGGGCTGGGCTGGGAAAAGTTCACTCACTCTGACAGTCCAGAAGTCACTCTTTACTCTGATGAAAATACAAGTATATGCATCAGTGTGTGATATAAACAATATATATATATATATATATATATATATATATATATATATATATATATATATATATATATATATATACACATGCACTTTTTGTGCTGTATTTATGATATACCACATGTATAAATCTTTCATTAACAGGAAACTTGGCAAGTTTTGTTTCCTTATATCCTTATGCTTCTTGTAGCATAAAATAAAATGTAGTGCAAATAAACCCCAAACCTAATATAACCTCTGTAGTAATTGAAAAAAAAAAATACATTAGACAGTGAGAGAGACGAAGTTGAGAGAGTGAGGTAATTGCATTAAATGATCGATGCCAGTGAAAAGAAGGGATGACACTGATTACATTTCATAACTTAATTTTTTAAAATTTAAGTGTTAAGTTGAAATTTACAATCAGTGGATTAGAAAAGAGGGAAGAATTTTAGATGCAGTAAAGTGTTCTTTATCAAAAGAATTTATATTAAATTATCCAGGTAGCAATAGCAAAATGTGTTATTTTCAGCTAAAATAGCAAAAGTGCTAAGACAGTTTCTATATTTAGATGCAAATATTGGTAAAATCCATTTTGAAAAATTAAGTCCTATAATAGATGACAAGTTATCAAAAATGAATTGATTCAAGAGCATCCACTACCTGCATGCATCTGTTCCCATCTGAGTACATATGCATTTTCCTTCATTCTTTATATATATATATATATATATATATATATATATATATATATATATATATATATATATATATATACATACATACATACAAACACACACACACAGAGTCTTCTTGCAGTCCTTCAATTCTGTTGGTGTGTATTTGTTCCATCCTTCTTTGGTTTACTCTAGTTTTTCTGTAGCAACATTGTTCTATTCTGCACTAAGCAACTATGTACACTGTATATCCACATATAAAATCCTAAAATTTCTTACTTAAATCTTTCTTTCAATTCCTAGTTTATTTGCAAAAAGAAAATTTTTGACATAATTAAAAGTATATATTTACTTAAAAAGTTAAGTTCAACTGCAAACAACATAACTGCATAGACCCAGATCTGCTGGCATATTATGTGATGGGAGATCTCAGTCTGTGCAGTTTATAGTTGGACTTACTAGTATTGACAATATGATTAATACAATTAAGTTTTCCTGGCAATTACTAAATGAGACAGTATGACTGACTGGCCATATGATAGAGCACCAGCAGGCCATATTTCATGTAGAAAGGTTAGATTAATGGTTTACCATATTGTTTGTATATAAATTTCAATTGCAAACTTCACAGACCAGATCTGTCACTGGATAATACTCTGGAAGATCTGGGTCTATGCAGCTTGTTGGGAGTTATAAGTAGAATAGACTATGTAGATAATCTGATAACTCATTTTTCATTTGCAGATCAGGCTCTATTTAGTTGAACTTGACTTAAAAGCAAGTATAAAAGTTTTTGTTAATGACAAGCTGACATTACTGACATAAAAGGATATTGGTGGAGTTTAAAACGACCCTTATTGCAAACCATATCGAACACACACATCTTGATTATCCTGAAGTGTTAACTATGCTTAATTGTATGGTTAAAATGGAGAATGCTTGTGCTCTGATCTCTGTATTATAAATAATGTTCTGCTTGAGTTTCATCGCCACTTTGGCAAAATATTCCAAAAATTATTGATGTGTTCTAGAGCTTGCATGACTGTTTTTCCTAGAGAGCTAATAGGATGTGTACATTTTACCTTTTTATATACCTTCCTTCTGATGGAGTCTATTATATTCTGACTCGGGCTGTCTGTTTGTCCATATGTTCATTAACTTTTCCTTTGCAGCATAATACATTCAGTTTTACTGCACTTACCTTCACAAAACTTTACAGATAAGTTCTTGAAAAAAAAGAAATAGGCCAATATATTTTAAAGTAAGAAAGGTCAAATTTCAAGGTTAAAATTTGTTGTGACTGGTTTCTATGTAGTTTTACATCACAGACCAAGATCACACTTTGTGGATGAGTTGCACTTGGAGTAAGAGAAAAATTGCTGGGGGGTGGGCAGGTTGGGGCAAGGCAAAAGGTCAAAATTTTGAAGGTCACTGTAATTGAAAGAAGAAAGTTTTCTTCAAAGTAACATGAGTTGTACATCACAGGTCTGGGCCAAACTTTGTGGATGGCTTGCACTTGGTGCAAGGGCCCAAAAAATTACTTATGTAGGGTCACAAAAAAGAAAGGTCAAGGTCTCTGTAACTGAATGAATAAGAATGGTTCTGTTCATTGAGACTCAATGTCATTGAGTCTCATTGTTATTGAAACTGTTTAATTTTCAGTATCAATCATGGTGTTCTTGTATCTCTAAAATAAACTGTTAAACATGGGGTGGACATATGATGTGTTGTTCATGATACTCTGGCTGTGGGTTGGACTAGATAACTTTATGTTCAATATATTGGATTGGGTCATTTAGTATTACCTTCACCAATCCATCTATCAGACCTTGGATTGGTTCAGCATTTAGGTCCGTTGTCAAGCACTGTGTTGGGGCATCTTTGATAAATACAGTTGTCAATTTTTATAAAAGTCAGATTCATATATTTTATTCATTTTGGTAATTAAAATTTCCTTTCTTAAACTGTGAGACATTTTTTTGTTTACTAAAGTATATTTTATTGCCATATTTTTCCATATTTCTTGTGTTCTTTCTTGGCATGTATGATTAGAATATTCCTTGCAAATGAAATTTATTATATGACTCTCAGGTCATTGTTGCAGCAGAAGTTGCACTCTGTCCATCAACATTTGTCATTTTTACTTTGAAATCAGACTCAGGAATATTGGTCCTTATAACATTTTCCACCACAGACTAGTATATTGTTATTTTGTTATCAGTTGCTGTAAATTCACTACTGTATAGGCTTGTGTACAAGTCAAATACAACTTCAGACTGTATAGACTTAGATTTCCCTTTATGTAATGCTCCATTAGATCAGAGTCTGTGTAATTGTTCGTAATCATTAGAACAAACATCATAGACCCTGATCTGCCCGTTGATAGTTACATATAAATACTCTCTGGTTATATGTGGTAATTTTAATACTAGTAGTATGGCTATTGCAAAGCTTACTCTTTTCTGGTTGAAACTATCTTCAGCCATATGGTGAAAATTCATTCTCACACTGGGACATTTTTGAGAAAGATATATGATCCAACCCAGGACTCTGACCTATTGACACTAACTTTCATCTTTTTTTTCTGTTTAAAATACATCAAGTAGAAAATTGCCATCATTGTCATTCATAACAAATTGAATGGTTTAATTATGTGCATCAGTTGCCATGTGAAATTACCCTATCATTTTCTGTACTTCCCAACAGAGCTGTCACCATGGCAGTTATTTTATTTAGAAATATTTTATTCCTTTTTTTTATCTTGGGGTCACCTTCCTCCTTCAAACTGTCTGTCACAGCAGCAGAGGAGGATGAAATTGGGCTTTTATTTTGGGATATGGTTAATGAGGTTTACCATTTTTGGCCCAGTAATTTTGCGTCCCATTAGTCTTCAGGCTTCAAGGATACAAAAATTCTATGGGACTTCTTCTTGACATCATCTCTTGTTGCTCTTTCACTTGGCAGCATTTGATGAGCTTTCCCAAAGTTTTAGAAGGATCAGGAGTTTGCTAAAAACCTTAAGAGGTGATTTATACCCCTTCTCTATATTGAGACCTTTTATTGCAGCAGCTATTTATAGGGTTCACCTCACCTCTTCGTCCCACCTTGGATGTTAAAGTGGTACAAGTGGCATTGCCATGGGGATGTGGACTTACCGTTAAGTTAAAAGTAAAGACTACAGCTTTGGTAATCATAGTTTTGTGTGCTGGCTTTGTTTTTGGCAGCTTCTTTTAGCCTGCAGAAGGAGGGATTTTTGTCTCCAGTTGTCCTTCATCGTTGGAAGTTGTGGCCCAGATGTATGTATTATCCATCATATAAATGAACCTCTGTATGGGAGGGGTTTAGGGGGCTTCTCCTGTCACTCAGTGAAATCACATGTATGCAAAATTATTAGGAAATTGTCATTTCTTCATATACTGATTCCAATGTGGTTTATTTATGGTAATACTACCTGTGATAGTGTGACTGAACTGGCTCAAGCAAGACAAGACAGTGTAGTTGATAATTTCACCCTCTGATCAGGTCAGCATGGTCAGCTGGCTTCATTGTTTGAGGTATGTCATGGTGGATTATCCTATGAGCAGAAGTAATTTGGAAATGTGATATGGGATGTCATGCCGAAGACATGTAGCATGATGTCCCACCCAGTCACATTATCCTGACACCAGGCTGACCAGTCCTAACACTAACCTCTTAATGCTGAGCGTCAAGTGAGGCAGCTTTTAATACCAATTTTTAAATATCTTGGGTATGACTCAGCCAGGGTTTTAACCCATGACCTCCCACATCTGAGGCGAATGCTCTAACCACTAGGCCACATCAACAACCTAGAAATGAAAACAGTATTTCTAGCATTGCAAGAGTGCATCAACTTAATAAGGGGCTGATGTGTCATGGTCTCTGAGACAACACGTCTTGTTGTAACTTATCTATGACATCAGTCTTCGTTTGGAGTTCTGGAACCTTTTCCTCTGGGCATCCTCAGAGAATGTCACAATCCGAGTTTGCCACATTCTGGGCAAAATGAATGTATTAGCGGACATCCAGTCCAGAACAGACCAAGTTGTCCTCACAGAATGGTGTCTTCACTACTCAGTAACAGTGTCCCATTTTCCCTTTGATGAAGCCCTCTAATGGACTTGTTTGCAACCATACTCAACAACAAACTTTCCTTTTACACATCTCCTGCCCTGGATCAGAAAGCATGGACAGTCCATGCATTAAGCTTCCAGTGGGATTGCCTATGCCTTCTCATCTTTCTAAATGCTTCCAAAAGTTCTGCAAAGGGTACTACCTTCCACTGCTCAGATCATTCTCATTGCCCCATTGTGGCCCCAACAATTATGGTTCAGCAATCTCATCTCTTAGACCACTTGATAGATTGACCCAGGTCTATACCATACAAGAGGAATCTCATCACAACAGTCCAGACACCTTCACACTAGCTCATCTTAAATGATCTCCCCACCAGAACAAGTTTTCAGACAGAGTCACCAGTTGCATCATTCAAGCCAAGAAAGCTTCTACATCTGAAGTATGTGATGCCTGGCGGAGAATCTTCTGTGATTGATGCAGCAGGAAACACATTAATCTTATCCTCCCTTCTGTAGCCTCCATTGCTGATTTCATTTTGTTCCACTTTGAGACCAAAAGATGTCCAGTATCCACTATCAAAGTCTATTGAGCTGCCGTATCCAACACACTTAAATTCTCACAGGGCACCTACATCGGTTCAGATCTGCATCTTCCTGATCTTATAAAGTTTTTGAGCTTCAGAGAACTGTCTCTCACTCCCTTGTGCCCAGATGGAATTTTTCCTGTGTTCTTTGGTCATTAACCAAAGCCTGTTATGAACCATTGAGTGAAGCTTCCATTTTGGATCTCACACTCACACTTGGTGAGACGAAGAGAAATTTATACCTTGTCCATTCTCAGTAAAAGATGCACAGGGGATGATCAAGATAGTCTTTTATGTCCCATGTGTGCTCTTCACTTCTATTTTAATGTCTCCAAAGCGAAAAGAAAAGGTAGGAAATGTCTCTTTCTCCCTAATAAGAGCTCTGTAGACATTTCAGCTGCCACTCTCTCCCGGTGGATTGTCATGACAATCAAACAAGTCTATCAGTCTCTCACTAACTGAGATCTCACCATTATGAAACTGTAAGCTCTCAAGGTTCAAGGCATTGCTACCTTACAGGCCTACTTTAATCATTCCTCTCTTGAGGATATTATAAAAAATACTGTCTGATTTTCCATAATACCTTTTCCTCCTTTTACCTCCATTCATTAGCACAACAGTGCACAGGCATTTTTATTCTCTTGGTCCCATTGTTATGGCACAGCAAGTTACTCAAAAGAGACACTAGTATTCTATAGAAATGTACCTCTCCCTGTATGGTGAGTGCATTTAATTTCTCAGTTGTTGACATTAGCATACCAACCTTACTGTGCAATAGCAACAGGATAAGTAATTGCTGCTATTAAAAAATATAGTTTTTTCAGGGGTAATTTTACTAATTTTAAACTAATTTTAATTATGCAGTACTTACCTGTCGTTATTGCTCAATATCCTCCTCCCGCCCTGCTGTGATATCTTACATAATTGTTGTCTGTGATAATATGCCTTATTGGTACATCTGCCTTCTGTGCATGACCATTTATTTGAAAGAGTGGTGCACAAAAGGACAAAGGGTCATTCTGACTTTTCTCCACTCTGGGAGGATGTATACATTAGACAGACAGCACATTTTTGGCAAGAAAATAGATTAACTAAGCAATAGTGGCAGGTAAGTATTGCATAATTAAAATTAGTTATAACTCAAAAAAACTACATTTCACTGACTCCATTGAGTCCATAAAGCTTGGCATAATATTTCATTGAGTCATCAAGTTTGGCATAATATTTCATTGAGTCTGTCAAGCTTGGCGTAATATTTCATTTAGTCTATCAAACTTGACATAATATTTAATTGCCTCCATTGAGCTCATCAAGCTTGGCATAGTATTTCATTGAGTCCATCAAACCTGGCATAATATTTCATTGCCTCCATTGAGTCCATCAAGCTTGGCATAATATTTGATTGAGTCCATCAAACTTGGCATAATATTTATTTGCTTGCATTGAGTCCATCAAGCTTGGCATAATATTTAATTGAGTCCATCTAACTTGGCATAATATTTAATTGCCTCCATTGAGTCCATCAAGCTTGGCATAATATTTCTTTTAGTCCATCAAACTTGACATAATATTTAATTGCCTCCATTGAGCCCATCAAGCTTGGCATAGTAATTTATTGAGTCCATCAAACCTGGCATAATATTTCATTGCCTCCATTAAGTCCATCAAGCTTGGCATAATATTTCATTGAGTCCATCAAACTTGGCATAATATTTATTTGCCTCGATTGAGTCCATCAATCTTGGCATAATATTTCATTGAGCCCATCCAGTTTGGCATAATATTTCATTGAGTCCATCTAGCTTTGCATATTTCACTGAGTCCATCAAGCTTGGCATAATATTTCATTGAATCCATTAAGCTTGGAATTATATTTCATTGAGTCCATCTGACTTGGCATAATATTTAATTGCCTCCATTGATTCCATCAAGCTTGGCATAATATTTCATTGAATCCATCAAACTTGGCATAATATTTAATTGCCTCCATTGAGTCCATCAAGCTTGGCATAATATTTCATTGCATCCATTGAGTCCATCAAGCTTGGTATAATATTTCAATGAGTCCATCAAACTTGGCATAATAATTAATTACCTCCATTCATTGAGTCCATCAAGCTTGGCAAAATATTTGATTGAGTCATCAAGCTTGGCATAATATTTAATTGCCTCCATTGAGTCCATCAAGCTTGGCATAATATTTCATTGAGTCTATCAAACTTGACATAATATTTAATTGCCTCCATTGAGCCCATCAAACTTGGCATAGTTTTTCATTGAGTCGATCAAACCTGGCATAATATTTCATTGCCTCCATTGAGTCCATCAAGCTTGGCATAATATTTCATTGAGTCCATCAAACTTGGCATAATATTTATTTGCCTCCATTTATTTCATTGCCTCCATTGAGTCCATCAAGCTTGGCATAATATTTCATTGAGTCCATCAAACTTGGCATAATATTTATTTGCCTCCATTGAGTCCATCAATCTTGGCATTATATTTCATTGAGTCCATCCAGTTTGGCATAATATTTGATTGCCTCCATTGATTCCATCAAGATTTGCATATTTCATTGAGTCCATCAAGCTTGGCATAATATTTCATTGAATCCATTTAGCTTGGCATAATATTTCATTAGTCCATCTAACTTGGCATAATATTTAATTGCCTCCATTGAGTCCATCAAGCTTGGCATAATATTTCATTGAGTCTATCAAGCTTGGCATAATATTTCATTGAGTCCATCAAATTTGGCATAATATTTAATTGCCTCCATTGAGTCCATCAAGCTTGGCATAATATTTCATTGCATCCATTGAGTCCATCAAGCTTGGTATAATATTTCAATGAGTCCATCAAACTTGGCATAATAATTAATTGCCTCCATTCATTGAGTCCATCAAGCTTGGCATAATATTTGATTGAGTCATCAAGCTTGGCATAATATTTAATTGCCTCCATTGAGTCCATCAAGCTTGGCATAATATTTCATTGAGTCTATCAAACTTGACATAATATTTAATTGCCTCCATTGAGTCCATCAAGCTTAGCATAATATTTCATTGCATCCATTGAGTCCATCAAGCTTGGTATAATATTTCAATGAGTCCATCAAACTTGGCATAATAATTAATTGCCTCCATTCATTGAGTCCATCAAGCTTGGCATAATATTTGATTGAGTCATCAAGCTTGGCATAATATTTAATTGCCTCCATTGAGTCCATCAAGCTTGGCATAATATTTCTTTGAATCAATCAAGCTTGGCATATTATTTCATTGAGTCCATCAAGCTTGGCATAATATTTATTTGCCTCCATTGAGACCATCAAGCTTAGCATAATATTTCATTGAGTCCATCAAGCTTGGCATAATATTTCATTGAGTCATCAAGCTTGGCATACTATTTAATTGCCTCCATTGAGTCCATCAAGCTTGGCATAATATTTCATTGAGTCCATCAAGCTTGGCATAATATTTCTTTGAATCAATCAAGCTTGGCATATTATTTCATTGAGTCCATCAAGCTTGGCATAATATTTATTTGCCTCCATTGAGACCATCAAGCTTGGCATAATATTTCATTGAGTCCATCAAGTTTGGCATAATATTTCATTGAGTCATCAAGCTTGGCATACTATTTAATTGAGTCCATCAAAATTGGCATAATATTTCTTTGAATCAATCAAGCTTGGCAGATTATTTCATTGAGTCCATCAAGTTTGGCATAATATTTATTTGCCTCCATTGAGACCATCAAGCTTGGCATAATATTTCATTGAGTCCATCAAGCTTGGCATAATATTTCATTGAGTCATCAAGCTTGGCATACTATTTAATTGCCTCCATTGAGTCCATCAAGCTTGGCATAATATTTCATTGAGTCAATCAAGCTTGGCATAATATTTCATTGAGTCCATCAAGATTGACATAATATTTCATTGCTTTCCATCAAATCCATCCAACATCAAGCATGGCATAATATTTCAGTGCCTCTAATGAGTCCATCCAACATCAGAATTTAACCATTATATTTAAATTGGCTTATCAGATGTAGGACATTTGGAGCTGAAACAAATGAAGCTCAGTGTTTAATTTTTTTTCCTTATTTACAAGACTATTATCTTTGACATGATTCAGT